ACCTGCCACACAAACATGTGCACCTTACAATTATTCCATACATCATATAAAGAGGCCCTATTGCTAATAGTACCTGAGAAACAGATCAAACCAAAAAATCTTAACATTGACCAATGAACCATGAAAATGAGGTCAAGGTCAGATGAACCCTGACAGACAGACATGTACACCATACAATTGTTCCATACACTAAATATAATTGACCTCTTGCTTACAATATCTGAGAAAATGACCAAACCACAAAAACTAAACATTGTCCAATGAACCATGAAAATGAGGTCCAGGTCAGATGAACCATGTCAGATAGACATGTGCACCTTACAATCATTCCATACACCAAATATAGTGGCCCTATTGCTAATAGTACCTGAGAAAAAGATCAAACTACAAAATCTTAATATTGACCAATGAACCATGAAAATGAGGTCAAGGTCATATATGAATCCTGCCAGACAAACATGTACACCATACAATTGTTCCATACACTAAATATAATTGAGCTATTGCATATATTATCTGAGATACAGACTTGACCATGTAATTAGGTCTTTTCACCTTTCCGTGGAAAGACCTATTGATTTTGTTCTGATTATTAGGTCTTTCCACTTTTCTGTGGAAAGACCTATTGATTTTGTTCTGATTATTATTTTTTTTTTTTTTTTTTTCTTCTGCCTAATTTTTTTCTTGCGTAGTATTGTTGTTTCATAAGATGTCGCTTAGATATTTGGTATGTGATATCGAACAGTTTATATGCTTTTGAAACTGACAACCGCTTAACCGAATACTTTACATTGTAAGAGTTATCTCCCCAAACACTGTTTTTCTTGTGGCCACTACTCCTTCGCAACCGTAAAAGATTACGACAAATTTATTTTACCAAATTGCTCGCTATATCTTCAGGATGTTGAGTTTGGTTTTCACCGAAGCGTTCCGGAGACTCCATATGAGAGTTATTTCCCCTTATGCATTTGATATAAGTGATATGCATTTCTAACTTGTAAACCATAAGTGATAGAGACCTAGGGTCTTTTGATTTGAGGTCCTTGGTCCAAAAAAACAAGAAAATTTGGTCAAGGTCAAAGGTCAAGGTCATATTCTGAATTTTGATTTTGGCTTATTTTCACTTCTTTTCAAAACAGTACAAGTTATCGACAACATATTATTACTAAATTGTTAGTTGCGAAATGTCGTAACACATACATTTTGGTTTAAAGGGAGCGCTAACATTAAATTAGAGTTTTCTCCCCTCTTGTATCTAAAAATACATGTATGGTGATATAACTTATTAACCATATATAAATAAGACCTAGGGTCTTTTGATTTGAGGTCTTTGGTTTATGACCTTGAAATTGAGCTCAAGGTCATAGATAAATTTGACGTTCTAGATTTTGACCTTTGCTTTTACCTCATATGTATACATGATAAAGCCATGGGACTTTTAGCATTAGGTTGCAAGCCATTTGACCTTGAAAAATCCAAAGGGAAGTGACCTTGTGTAAACCGGAAGTAGCTATTTTTTGTACTTATTTAATATAAAAGTATATAGAACCATATATTTTTGGAATCAGTGTCAAGTAAACATTCAAATTATACCGGAAGTAACATTTTTCAAACCGGAAGTAACAAATTATCTCCCTTATTTAAAAAAAAATATAAAGAAACCATATATTTTTGGAATCAGCTTACAATAAGCTATCATTTGACGCTGGAAATGACATTTTAAACCGAATTTTAATATTTTTATATCAAAATAGATCTTTATGGGTGGAAAGACCTTCAATTGTTCTCTGAACAATTGGTTTTTAATTATTATTATTTTTTTTTTTCTTCCGCCTAATTTTTCTTCTTGTGTAGTATTGTTGTTTCATAAGATGTCGCTTAGATATTTGGAATATGATATAGTATAGTTTATACGCTTTAAAAATTGACAACTGCTAAACCGAACACTTTACATTGTAAGAGTTATCTCCCCAAACACTGTTTTTCTTGTGACCACTACTCCTTCCCAACCGTAAAAGAGTACGACAAATTTATTTTACCAAATTGATCGTTACATCTTCAGGATTAGGATATTTATTTGGATTGAAGCTTTCCGGAGACTCCATATGAGAATTATTTCCCCTTATACATTTTATATAAGTAATATGCATTTCTAACTGGTAAACTATAAGTGATAGAGACATAGGGTCTTTTGATTTAAGGTCCTTGGTCCAAAAAAATGAAAATTAGGTCAAGGTCAAAGGTCAAGGTCATATTATAAATTTTGATTTTGGCTTATTATCACTTATTTTCAAAAGCAGTATAACATCTCGACAAATTATTTTTACTAAATTGTTAGTTGCGACATGTCGTAACTTATAAATTTTGGTTGAAAGGGTGTGTAGACAATAAATTGGAGTTTTCGCCCATCTTATATTTAGAATTATGCGTAAAGTGATATAACTCATTAACCATACATATTAAAGACTTAGGGTCTTTTGATTCAAGGTCCTTGGTTTGTGACCTTGAAATTGAGGTCAAGGTCATAGGTTAATAGGACGTTCTAGATTTTGACCTTTGCTTTAAATTCATCTTTTATACATCATAAAGCCATAGTAACTGACATTTTAGACTGTTTTTTAATATTTTAATATCAAAATAGATCTTTACTGGTGGAAAGACCTTCAATTGTTCTCTGAACAATTGGTTTTTAATTGTAACCTTGATTACTGATCAATGGAATAAGGTCGAGGTCAGGTGAACTCTACCTGAGGGACATGTTGACTTTGCAAGGACCCCATAAACCAAATATATTGTTATCCTATTACTCATAATGAGTGAGCATTGCAGAGACACAGAGATATGTATCGCCTATCGGAATAATTTTTTTGTAAGTAGTTCCTATCAATTTAACCTAAGCAGAAAAGGGTATCTGCACAAAAGGAATGAAGCATCCAGGTCTTCTATCTTCTGAAATATAAAGCTTTAAACAAATAGTTTACACAGTTGCCACAGCCGGCAGCTTGTAATACCTATGTCTCGCATACTGTGAATTTCGTCGCAGGGAACACAAAAATGGTAAAACAAATCCTTAAGGGCAATAACTCTTATTGAAAGTTGACTGACGATTTTTACAATATTGACCTATTTGTAGATCTTGTCTATCTAATGTTTTCAAGATAATACGCAAGAAAGAAAGAAATCTGTAAAATTCATTATCTAAGAGGAAAAACTATAAAAAGTTGTCTGACAGTTTTGATGTAAATGGGCAGTAAGTAGATCTCACCATTTTAAACATTTTGGCAGCTGTCAATTTTCTCAATTGTAAGCAGTTTTCTAGATAATAGACCCAATTTTCATTTTACCCATGTGTTCTATTTTTAGCCATGTAGGCCATATATTGGTTTACAATTAGGATCATGAGAAGTAAACTAGAACTCCAATGATATCTGTGGCAAATATAAAAATAAGGAGATGAGGTATGATTTCCAATGAGACAACTATCCACCAAAGTTAAAATGAAGTGGATGTAAGCAATTATAGGCAACCTAAGTTTGGTTCCAATTTGCAATGTAGTTTCAGAGAAGATTTTGTGGCCAACTTTGGTTCCAATTTGCCAAGTAGTTTCAGAGAAGATTTTGTATTACAGTTAACAGATAATGGACACCAAGTGATGAGAATAGCTCAATGAGCTATAAACAAGGCACTTTCATTCCCCCTTTCCAAAAGCTTTTGATTTTTGTTCTGATTATTACCAGATTGGAATTTTTTTTCTCTCTCAAAATAAAATTGACAGCTTCGTCTTAATACTCCAAATTGACTTATGTAAGACTTTTTTTCTGAAATTCAGTTGCATGAAACATGAATAAAAAATTCCAACATTTTTAGCACGGATGTCAACGAGTATTCCAGTACTCCATTATTGCTCAGAAGTACAGAGTATGGATAACAAAAATGATACTCGACTAATCGGTTTCCTGTTAGAATGTTCTTCAATCTCTTTTGTTTTTGAAATATTGCTTTTGTTTTGTAACATGTCGATAAGATATTTAAATTTGGTATATAATTTTGAACAGTTATCATGCTTTTGAAACTTACTCTTTTTTAACCAAACACCTTTCCATATGGGAGATATATCCCAGTAAACTATTTTTTCTTGTTAATGGTATGATAATTTCTTGATCATACAACTAGAGACTTGGCGTCTTTTGATTTGAAATCCATGACTATTTGACCTTGGTCAATGCCAATTTGACATTTTAGAATTTGACCTTTGCTTTTTTATGCAATTAAACTGATGGAGTAGGAAAAAAGGAAGAAATGCTGCAAATTGTGTAGGACATCATGACTAAGACATAAACATTCAGTTTATACCAATTCAATGGCATTAATGAGAGTTATTGTGCTTTAGATACTTAAATTTATGATCTATCTGATATAGCTTCATACTGGTATAGTAAGTTTTCCTACCAAGGTCGATGTATATATACTTATTGAATCTTCATATGAAGTAAGGGAGATATATTTCAAATATGTGTGAGCTAAGCTTTCTCCCGATGCCTAAGGTTACTTTTAAATCACAAGTTACTATTTTTCCTCTCCATTTTTAAAAAAACCATCAGATCTTTTTTCAAATTCATCTCAAATCAAATCATCAACAAGCATGAATTTGTAGATTTGTAGGTGGAAAGACCTTCAATTGTTCAGAGGGTTTGTTTATTTTATTTTGAATTTAAAAAAAAAATTGTATCCATGGGTAAGAAAGCGTTTCATAAAATGTTTATCTGCTCCAGTACAGACAGCAGAACTTTAAGGTTAACACATCACCTTATCAGAGGTCACAAAACCTGTCTAATTATACTGTCTGATATGTTTAATAACACATCAAAATATGGTTTTGAAAATAATGACACTGACATTTGATGAAATCTGCTTTTAAATTGTCTTTATAGTACTTTTCCAATAGCTGTAAGACAATATTTATGTACTAACACTTAGTAAAACTAACTATGTCCTCTTACCAGAGCTAACAAGGCATATAGAGCAGGTGGCTGAACAGAATGGTGATCCATCAACCTTTCACACATATAGGTTACCAGTAATTCAACTACAAACCAAACATATACAAATATATTACATAGATTTAAGATGTATCAATCTTTGTTAACCTTTACTACATACTGGAAAGAATATATTCTAACATTACATAAAGAGAATGTTGCCAACATTTCACTAGATGTTTTGCTACAGAAAACAACAAAATCATTCAGATCTACAAATTAACAGTCAAAACAGGTCAATATCTCTATCCAATTCCCCAAAAGGTGTATAAAATGAACAATTCCGCTCAAACCAGGGCTAGGGGTCGTCTTAAAACTTGCAGTGAGGTGAGAGTTTTTTTGCTCTGTGTTGAAAGCCTCACTGTGACTTTGAGATGAAGAACAGCAATAAAAGAGCTGTTCCTTTGCTTTTTGTGTGTTTTTTTCTTTGCATGTACTGAGTTTGTGTCATGGATGGATACCCCATATCCTTTGTTTTTATCTATAATGTTTACATTATCAAATTTCCAGGTGGTAATTCAGTACAGTGATCAACAAGAACAAAACTATCTTGATTTTGTATTTTGATAACATGACTGAATCAGTGTCTCTTCTACTAAAGCAGTTTATTAATTTCTCAATGTTATGGGTTCCAAGGCTATCACTTCCCACTTGGAAAATTGCAAAATTCTTAATGTACAACTTTTTACCAAATTCAAGGGTTATGTCAATGTCAAAAACTCATTGGACAAACACTTAATTGACATATAACTCCTATTATGGAAATAATATCACATATGGTAAGTCCCTTTTAGCTTTGCTGATAGTTAGTAGACTTTAAAAATTAGAAGAGATGTTTGATATCCAGGGTGATGAGCAATCTAACAATACAAAACTGCAAACATTAGACACCTAAAGATTTCCATACCACCTTAATTACTGGGGGTTTTATTTTTATATATGGGATATCAATGTTGGTGGATTTAGTGGTTATAGCTAAAACACAAATTGAAAAATTCAAAGAAGTACACATTTTCTAAAGGCTTGTATACAGACTCTGGCAAATCTATTGATATATAAGTTGTCCTTTTAATCCACAAAAATTGGTATCCACGAAAATAAATAAATCCACAGTATATGCAAGTGAGTAACAATTTAAAGCATGACTTTCTTTAAAAAAAAAAAGCAAAAATTAGTATTACAGAATTTTTTTCAATATTTTAAGCTTTCTCAATTAAATAAATAGCAATATGAGATTTTACCTTCATCTTCATTTAGATGACTATTTGGCAACTGATGTAAAACTTCAGCTATCAGTCTGACACATCTTGATCTAATACTAACATCTGTACTCGTTAAATATTTCCTACAACATAGTGTTTGTCAATTTGTATTAAAACATAAATCTATGGTTAATAGAAAGAAAATTTGATATCAAATACTATTCTCACAAAAAAATTAAATATCCAAACAAACATTTCTGTGCCAAAATCAGACAAGAGTGCACATGCTGAAATGTATCTCCTGCTTTACTGACCATTGATTTAATGCTGAAAGTCTTAAAGATAAAAGTTTTTGCTACAAGCATCACATAAACTTGATATTTTTAAAGATCCAAGGCAATGAATTCAAGGTCAGATAAATCCTGTCAGACAGACATGTACGCCTTACAATTATTACATACAACAAATAAAGTTGACCTATGGCTTAAGTTATGATAATTGAAAACAGACCAAAACACAAAAACTTAATACTGACCAATGAACCATGAAAATGAGAACAAGGTCATATGAAACCTGCCAGACAGACATGTACCCCTTTGCCCTTACAATCATGCCATTCACTACATATAGTTGACCTACTGCTTAAAGTATCCTAGAAACGGACCTAATCACGAAACTTTAACCTTGCTCACTGATCCATGAATTGAGGTAGAGGTCGGGTGAACCCTGTCTGATGGACATGTAGACTTTGCAAGGAACCCATATTACCAAATATCTCATAATAAGTGAGAAAGTCACATGACAGAAAAACTTTAATTTTTTTTCAAGCAGTTGCTGAACCATGAAAATGAGGTCAAGGACATTGGACATATGACACACAGAAACTTCTTAAAATAAGGTATCTGCATACAAGGTATGAAGCATCCAGGTCTTCTACCCTCTGAAATATAAAGCTTTATACAAATAATCTACATCGCCCCTGCCAGATAGTAATCCCATGTCTCGCATTCTGCGACTGTTGTCGCAGGAGAGACAAAAACTGGAACTTATCTGAAACTAAATTTTCAAGAACTGTACAAATAAAGTCAGAAATTTTGCAATGTTTATATTATTGCGAAAAAACTGCAACAGGATAGGTGTCACAAACAAAAACTCACCTTTCAAATATTGATATGCACCATTTCCTTAAATCACAATAATCTATCTCACATTTTTGAACACTGTTCAACAATGCTAATAATGAATGCACATGATGCAGGAACAAATTTCTGAATAATTTTTATTGAATTGGCAGTTGTTTTTTTTTCTACCCAAACTTTTCTGAATTTACATTATTTATTTCCTACCATGTATGCCCAAATTACTTTTTATTTCCAAATGAATTTCACATTTCTTAATAACCTGCCTTTCTATGTTTCCAAATTCATTTTCACTTCAACATGTTCAATCAACCACAAAACAGAATTGTCTTTTTGTTATTTGTGTTGGGTTACTGTTTCATGGACATTTAGCTCATATCTCCTTCAATTCATATTTCTGAATAAGATCTGACACATAAGACTCAAGGTTGACTTTTTCATTATGTCATACTTACTGAAGGTTCTCTATAAAGGTAACTAACTTTACTTCATTATTGACAATATCTACAAGCAAATATGTACAAATTAGATAAATTTCAAACGTAAATTTAATTTCTTCAGTGTAGTATACTTCATATAATAAACTTTCATCACTTCAAACATAATATACAAGCATCATTCTTTCAATACAATATCAAAACAAATACATTATACAACACTAGTTAGCAAAATTTGATACAGGGTTGTGACAGTTGGATTTTGAGCACAACAAGTCTGTATAATAGTAAATATTGTTTAAACTACATACAATGTGAAGGTATAACACAGCTATGTTAACATATGAAAAAGCACATACAATCAATTTTTCTCAACGATTTGTTTTGATCTAACAGCCATTAATTTAAAAACTGTAATCTTGTGATACGATACTGGGTGATCTTCACTGAAAACTCATTTCAATTAAATGGTGTAAAATTCAAGTTCTTTTCTTTTACAACTAGCATAAATTTTGAGACAGTTTAATTTTGGCCCAATGATGCCTTAAGATCAGAGAGGATTCAAGACCAGTGTGCGGCATATACAAATTGCAGTCTGTCTAAATAATAGTCATGACAGTAATGCATGTTTCATCAGACTGATTTTTTTTTTAATTTAAGACTAATTAAGTAGTTTGCTTCTTTTTCATTTGAAAGATTTTGAATGAAACTCATACCTAACCCTGAACATACTTATATGTTCTGGTAATATTTGGTTCCTATGATAATTTTCTATTTCTGAAATGCCTCAACCAAATCTCACTGCATAAAAAAGGAATTCATGACAATACTTCCTTCCACTTCAGATACTGTTTCCAACTTATTGTCCTATGTCATAGCTTTGAGATGTAAAACATATATGTACAGTAACTAAAGTTGAATAATTATCAAGGCTATTTAAAATTTTTGCTTTGATGCCTTCTTGTACCAATGAGGCTTCTATAAAAGATCAAAATCGAAATTGCCCTCAGCAGTATCTGGACCGGTACACAACAACTTGTACCTTTGACAACTCATACTCAACCAACTCATACCCTATGTTAATTACCAACTCATGCTTTCACCAACTCGTTCTTCTACCAACTTGTACCCATTTTGATGCAGCATTATTATGTATCATTTAAAAGGATAGAAGTACACATCTTTAGTATTTGTAAAGACCCACATTTGAATAATATTTGCTTAAAAATTGTTTAAAAGGTTGTCTGTACTCAAGAGTAAATTTTGTGACCATCTATTTCAATTCCTTCTTCTAATAAACCTTAAATAGTCACTTGTTTGCTAATTGGAATAAAACATATACATAGAAATTTTAAATGAACTGTGTCTGACTATTTTTGATAGAGGTTTCAGTTTACAATGTATTTGGGGAATATCTGGTCGTATGGATACAATCACGTTAGGGACAAAACACCAAATAGGCAGCTATTCCCCAAATGAGTAACAATCCCTCAATGGAGTAATCATTTGATAGTGCTAAAACAAAAATTTCTTAGCCAAATCTTTTTACGGCACAAATTTATAGAAAATGGAACAACTTCTTCTAAAGAACCATATTTGTATTGATTTGAAACTAGAGGCTCTAAAGAGCCTGTGTCGCTCACCTTGGTATATGTGCATATTAAACAAAGGACAAAGATGGATTCATGACAAAATTGTGTTTTGGTGATGGTGATGTGTTTGTAGATCTTACTTTACTGAACATTCTTGCTGCTTACAATTATCTCTATCTATAATGAACTTGGCCCAGTAGTTACAGTGGAAAATATTTTGTAAAAATTTACAAAAATTTACAAAATTTATGAAAAAATTGTAAAAAATTGACTATAAAGGGCAATAACTCCTTAAGGGGTCAATTGACAATTTTGGTCATGTTGACTTATTTGTAGATCTTACTTTGCTGTACATTATTGCTGTTTACAGTTTATCTCTATCTATAATAATATTCAAGATAATAACCAAAAGCTGCAAAATTTTCTTAAAATTACCAATTCAGGGGCAGCAACCCAACAACATGTTGCCTGATTGGGCTGAAAATTTCATAGCAGATAGATCTTGACCTGATAATCAGTTTTACCCTATGTCAGATTTACTCTAAATGCTTTGGTTTCAGAGATATAAGCCAAAATCTACATTTGACCCCTATGTTCTATTTTTAGCCATGTCGGCCATCTTGGTTAGCGGGCGGGGTCATCGGACACATTTTTTAAACTATATACCCTAATGATGATTGTGTAAAAGTTTGGTTAAATTTGTCTTAGTAGTTTCAGAGGAGAAGATTTTTGTAAAAGATTACAAAAATTTACGAAAAATGGTTAAAAATTGACTATAAAGGGCAATAACTCCTCAAGGGGTCAACTGACCATTTTGGTCAAGTTGACTTAATTGTAGATCTTACTTTGCTGAACATTATTGCTGTTTACAGTTTATCTCTTTCTATAATAATATTCAAGATAATAACCAAAAACGACAAAATTTCATTAAAATTTCCAATTCAGGGGCAGCAACCAAACAACGATTTGCCTGATTGGTCTGAAAATTTCAGAGCAGATAGATCTTGACCTGATAAACAATTTTACCCTATGTCAGATTTGCTCTAAATGCTTTGGTTTCAGAGATATGAGCCAAAAACTGCATTTTACCCTATGTACTATTTTTTAGCCATGTGGGCCACCTTGGTTCGCGGGCGGGGTCATCGGACACATTTTTTAAACTATATACCCTAATGATGATTGTGGACAAGTTTGGTTAAATTTGTCTTAGTAGTTTCAGAGGAGAAGATTTTTGTAAAAGATTACAAAAATTTACGAAAAATGGTTAAAAATTGATTATAAAGGGCAATAACTCCTTAAGGGGGTCAACTGACCTTTTTGGTCATGTTGACTTAATTGTAGATCTTACTCTGCTGAACATTATTGCTGTTTACAGTTTATTCTCTATCTATAATAATATTCAAGATAATAACCAAAAACGGCAAAATTTCCTTAAAATTACCAATTCAGGGGCAGCAACCCAACAACGGGTTGTCAGATTCATCTGAAAATTTCAGGGCAGATAGATCTTGACCTGATAAACAATTTTACCCATGTCAGATTTGCTCTAAATGCTTTGGTTTCAGAGATATAAGCCAAAATCTACATTTTACCCCTATGTTCTATTTTTAGCCATGGCGGCCATCTTAGTTGGTTGACCGGATCACCGGACACATTTTTTAAACTAGATACCCCAATGATGATTGTGACCAAGTTTGGTTAAATTTGACCCAGTAGTTTCAGAGGAGAAGATTTTTGTAAAAGTTAACAGACGACGCCGGACGACGACGACGACGGACGCAAAGTGATGAGAAAAGCTCACTTGGCCCTTCGGGCCAGGTGAGCTAAAAAGTTAGTAGCCTTGAAAATTTACAATTTTTTTATGTTTTCATAGAAATCTTTGTAAATCAGGTTAGGGCTATATTATCAAATCGGTTAAGGTAGTCTTCCTCCAACTTGGAATTTTGAAATAGCAGATAGCATTCAGTCTAGATCTTGAATGAAATGTGCAAATTTGGAGAGTAGTATGTAATTCCTGTGTAAGTCTGGTCATGCTAATAAAGAAAATTATGTGTTTTATCATATTTACAGCTGTATCATGTATTTTACAAAAAACAGAATATTTTTGTTTGATTCACTTTTTTCCAACTTTGCCACATAAGGGTAGATAACTCAGATATAAGGGGACATAACTCAGATAAAGATACTTTTATAAAAAGTAAAATCACAAAAATACCGAAATCTGAGGAAAATTCAAAACGGAAAGTCCCTAATCAAATGGCAAAATCAAAAGCTCAAACACATCAAATATAATAGAATGTGTTGTGAATTTACCAGGGGTGTAGCTGCCGTTAGGCACTTTAGGCACGTGCCTACACATAATTTTTTCACAAATATTCTTTTATTAAAAAAAATAATAAACAATGTTATCTGTAGATGCATGTGAAGTCGTCAAAACTCTGCCATTTGTACACTAGTCTATCATACGTAGTGAATCAGTGGAGTATTGGAACTGTATGTCATTATATTACACCTTATATAGAAACTATAAACTAGAACTTTAATTGGTTTACATCATTTCACTTCTATCAACAAATACTTGAATGAACCTCAACTTAGATAAATGATTTTTTTTTAATTGTTGTTTGCCCAAGTTCAATCCGATGCCTAGTGTAGAGAGAATGCTACGCTCTTTGCACGTTAAGAAACTTGCAACAACTCTTTGAGGGGTTCGTAGGTCGTCTACTGAAAGGCACATTTCTGTTCCTATCCAATAAACCCTCATTTTCCAATGGCATTTCCAAATTTCCTGACCTTCATCCTGAAAGACCCCTATTTGTTTTAGTCCTGAACATGCATGAGCTATTTGCCACTGGACGTTTAGCAATCAATCAACTAGCTTTCAGTAACTTCGAGTACTCTCAGATCTACGTGTATGACCATAATTATTCAAATTCCTAAGCAGGTAGGGATTTTACAGTACAGGATATAAGGAAATATGAATTTCTTGAATTTTGTTAGACTGTTTGAACAGAACAGAACTTCTGCATGACGTATCGACTGAGTGTGTGTATGTGTTTGTGTGGCCAGGGGAGGGTGAATGTTTAAGAATCAAAAGATGAATAGTCGATGCGTAGTCCAAAAGTTAGTATTATTATGTAGTAGTCTCAGTGTTTATGTGCCTATTTTTTTAAATGTAGGATCATCAATATGTACTATCAATTGACGTATATATATCAATTATACACAATCAGAAACAGGTTGTGCTGCTTAATAAAGGGCTACGCTGATCCACAGTGGGCAATGCATATTGGAAATGTTGATTTTTTTTTTTTTAGATTTCTGATTGTACTGCAGGTTAATTCATCAGTCAGATGTAATTGTAGAATTATGTTTATTTTTTCAACAATTTTTTTCATGTATCTTATCATGATAAAATGACCAATAAATTTTATGTTTTCTTGTACACAAAATTTTGCAACTAAAATGCTGAAAACCATTTTCCGTTGGGGGCTTCGCCACCCTGAACCCCCTAACAGGGCTCTACCCTGGACCTCCTGCCGCAGTTTGTGCCTACAGTTTATTGGATACCTAGCTACACCCGTTTACCTTTTTTATTATGTAGCAAGAAAATGAGTCCAGTGACCCCATTTTTTCTTTTTCTTATCTGAAAGCATATTATTAGAGCTATCTTCTCATATTTTATCTTAAAATTCTATGGTGTAGTTTTATTTTTATCACACAAAATTGGGTTTTCCATGCATAATCTATACAAAATCTGACAATTTTGCACAACCTGTAGCATGATAAAAAGCCCAGTGACCCATACTTTTTATTATATTTTTGAAAAAAGCATGACATAAACTACATTTTGACAAATTATTAAATAATTCTATGGATTTTAATTTAGAATGTTTAGACCCCCCCCCCATCTACCATGTCGACCTTAAGAGCTCTACAGAGCTCATGTTTACTATGTTAATTTGTAGTGTACATGTCATGTCTGACTCTAAATAAAAATTTACTAACTTACTTACCAGTCTAGGGTATAACTCTATAGGGTTATTAGAGAAAAATAACATATATTTGTTATTGTGGACTAAAAAATCCAAAAACTGTGATAAGATACATGTATGTATGTATGTTACATGTTTCAAAGGGGCAATATAATCCTTTGTTTTGTTAAAAGCTTCCAAGTAATTCCCAAGTGTCTCATATACATTTGTAATTTAAGTTACATGCCCTTGTTATTACAGCTAAGTTTATCCCTTAAAAGCCTTGTCTCACTGATTTACCATGGTTGATAAAAAATGTATTTATTTAATTGGAAAATAAGTTAGGCACTGGCTATAGCTACGGTTACATGGAAATGTAACAATAATATAAAAATTATTGTTACATTAATATTGGAGACTAATTGCCGGAATGCAGGGTTGGGTAAGGAACCGATTAATTACAAATGTAACAATAATATTTGGGTCTACGGTTACATTGCGATATTGTTACATTAACGCACTGCAATGTATGATGGGAATAGTAATAAATATGTATTAAAATAAAACTTGAAAACTTTTATTTGATATTTACAATATTGCATACAATATTTTGATTTTTTATTTACAATGACAGTTTCTACAAATCCAGTATGTTGTTTTTGGAGCAAGTTTTAGTCCGACGCATTTTCGGTGAAACCACTCTAAGCAGCCATCACAAACCAGTGATACGGCAATGTGCACGCTCTATATTGCATACCTTACAATTCCATTCTGAATTTTCCCTTTATGAAGTTTAAGAAACTTTCAATGTCTGAATGCCATGCTTCAGGTGAAAAATATTTTGTTACTCTTGCGATGTTTACATTTTCGTCCAATATTTTTTTTTGAAGCATTTTAGGTTGTTTAAATACAAGTCAATTGTGAAAGCAATTAATGTTGACATTTGCCGACAGATTGAAATTGGTGGAAACAGTGTTTTCATTTTCAGAGTCCAGATATTTTGTGATCTTATCAGTCGTGACAGTACATGCTCTATTGAACAGTTCATTAAGTATTTATCAGTAGTGATATTGAACTAAACTGTAGTAGTCATGATTTTTAACAACACCAAAACAATAAATACTTATTCGCTGAATAATATTATTATTATTAATATTATCTAGTACATATCGAAGAATTAAGCAACATAACTATAGAAGGTTTAAGTTTAATAAATCTATCATACATTGCAGTCTTTAATTTAACAATAACGCAATGTAACCGTAGACCCAAATATTATTGTTTCATTCGTAATTAATCATTCCTTACCCAACCCTGCATTCCGGCAATTAGTCTTCAATGTAACAATAATTTTTATATTATTGTTACATTTCCATGTAACCGTAGCCAGTGCCAATAAGTTATTAAGGCTACATATTAAGTTACTGTGCAAAGTTTCAAAAATTAAAATATTTATGATTTATTTAACAAATAACAAACATATGTAACAAAAGTAGACAACTCATGAAAGTATCTGTAATAACACATGTATGATATTTTCTCTAATAACCCTATAGACATGATAGAGTTATACCCTTGACTGCTTAATATTCATCTTTTATAAAACTTGCTGCATTTTGCATGAATATGTGCCATTTCAACATGTTCAAGTATAAAATGTGTATTAAAAAAAAAATTGAACACTAGAAAAGTATCCTTCATTGAGGGATAATTCATTTGGGGAACTTATAATGTTATCCCCAACTAGCTGCTGAACCGTAGCTCTTAGGTCCTTATGATATTTTTGACAATTCGGGGACCATAGCTGCAAATTGTCAAAAAATATGATAAAGGCTACGGTTCCCTAGCTAGTCCACAACATGAAAATAATGCATAGCAAAAAGTTATATCTATTAAAACCTACTACTTTCATGACTACCGTAATAAATGGAGAGGGTTTTTCCATAACCTGTAAGTGTAAGGCTGTAGCCTGTATAAGACAACCTCCCCCTTTTCTTCATAAGGCCGCTATGCAGTAGGTTTTAAATTGAGAAATAAGTGAACACTTTTCCGATAATTTTTCAAAAAATTACCTTTCGTGACTGAGCTAATCGTTGTCTTTTGGTCTGTAACTGTATTTTCAATATAATTTTGAACACAACTTTCCAAATTCATGGGCGCAGCCATCTTTTTCTAGTGAAGTTGTCTCCCTTAAAATTCCCGCCATTTTGCTAGTTTTAGCCCACACCAAAAAGGATAGAGAGAATACCATCAGTTGGCGTCCAGTGTCTGTTGTCCTTTCATCCATCGTATAAACTTTTATTTAAATTATATTTTCTCCTCTATATTTTAAATTACTGCTCCAAATGTTTTCGTCTGTTCTGACCGAAATTGCCCCTGAAAGACAATTTCAGTACCCATTTTTTGCATTTTTATTCTTGGAAAACTGAAATCTGAAATAATAGAGAGAAACTCCAACAGTAGAAATGATCAGTTCCAAAGATCTTCAAATGAGTCATTCATATGGTTGAAATCGTCAGTCGATTCCTTACAGGAGTACTCTGATTTTCAATCATTGAACGATAATGTTACACTTGAATTAACTTGACGGCCGGTTACCCATATTTTGCGTTAACTTTACCATAATCATGATAAATAGAGATATACTTTGAACAGCAAATATGATAAACTTGATGAGATGTACAAGTAGGCCAACATGACCTGAATCATCTGGATTCCTCAGTTATAGAAGATATCAGTGCCCTTGAATGACGATATTTACCCATTGTAAGCTATATAATTATATATATAAAAAATAAAACTAGATAAAGATTAACACTAAAAAGCAAAAATGATCAGCTATGTCAGATCCAGATCTACAAATAAGTAAAGTGACAAAAGTTGTGACTCGACTCGTAATTACGTGAAGTTATCATGTCCTGATAAGATGATTTTAAACAAATTGTTTTAGTGTTTCTACCTAACATCTTGAAAACTATAATACATAAGGACTATTTTCTTAATAACAAAAAGACCAGCAACGAAAGTTCTACAAATAAATCAGTAGAAACGAAATTGTCAATCAACTTCTTAATGGGTTTGTTACCCGGAAATCACAATGTTAATTAACATGCTTTTTTTTTTATTATTTCTGCTTGTTATATATCTTTAGAACTATTATGGAGTAACAGAATCTTGGTCCAGCCAAAAATACTCAGTAAGACAAGTTTTTGCCTACACAGTTTTCATTCAGCACGCACATTACTTGACGTCCGTCATCCGTAGTACGGCATCCGTCCTCTGAAACTATGCCGAACCAATTTTAGCCGAACTTGGCCGGTGTAATTGATCCATATAGTGTATCTATTATAAAGTTTGTATTTGGTATTCTGGTCAAACTAACATGGCCACCATTGCTAAAATAGCCTATTTTAGGGGTAAATTGCATTAATTGCCTTAGATTTTCGTTCTTTTTGTATACAGTTACACTGTGACTTACTTCGTAACATTGGTGATAACGTAGTTTGCATGCCGATGATGAGGGTAGTAAACAAATATATTACAAAAAAGTGCAAAGCAATTATTATGAATTTGTTGGTGTTGAAGAGAAAAGTTGGTGTCAAACTTGTGGTTCATATGATGAAGACATAATCTTTCGCGATCAGTCGAATTGAGGTCTGGATCTTGCATGTCAGTAACTGCCAGTAGTCCTTTGTTAATTTATGTTGATCATTGTCGTTTTGCTAAGTTTCATCTGTTACCTTTTCTAACATTGTACTAGGACTTCTTTTAAACTGAGTTTAACTGTGCGTATTGCTGTGTGTTTGTTTATTCCACATTGGCTATATGTATGAGGGAGGGAAGGGGGGATCTCACAAAATATTTTTAACCCCGCCGCATTTATGCGCCTGTCCCAAATCAGGAACCTCTAGCCTTTGTTAGTTTTTTTTGTTGGTTCATTTATATGTTTCGGAGTTAAATGTGGCATTCAATTTGCTGAACTAGTATGAATTATTGTTTAGGGGGCAACTGAAGCCCGCCTCCGGGTGTTGGATTTTCTCGCTGCGTTGAAGACCCATTGGTGATTATCGGCTGTTTTCTGCTCCATTTCATTGTGGTAGCATGTTCCATTGTACTATTGTATGTAGAAAAAAATGACCATTTGTAACTTTCTATTGAACTAGAAATTGGCCGAAATGTTTGGTTGTGTAATTTTCTTTTTCTAGCGTCTACTTGAATTAGCACTAGTGGTGGACTTGCAATTAGTCTGAAAACAACTTTGTATAACATGATAAATCTGGTTTTTAAGCGGCGCTCTGCGAAAAAAGTAAAATCACAAAAATACTGAACTCCGAGGAAAATTAAAAAAGGAAAGTCCCTAATCAAATGGCAAAATCAAAAGCTCAAACACATCAAACGAATGGATAACAACTGTCATATTCCTGACTTGGTACAGACATTTTCTTATGTAGAAAATGGTGGATTGAACCTGGTTTTATAGCTAGCTAAACCTCTCACCTGTATGACAGATGCGAGTGCATGTTTACCATTTAAGTTGGTTTAACTTAGTTGTTACACTACTGGTGTTACTGTTGTTGTTGTATACGCCTCTGTATCATTTCAAGTTTGTTTATGTGTTCTGCTATATGTCGATCCCATAGACTACACCTATTTTTAGGTTTCGGTCTTACGATGGATTGATATGCACGTGATTTGATTTCGCTGTTTGAAATTTTGATGTTTCTTTTAAGAAAGCCAAGCGATTTGTTTGCACTTGTAAATTTACATAGTGGTTGTTCAATTTTAAACGCGACTGTAATTTTATTGCACCCATGAATTTTATTCTAAAAGAGGGACGAAAGATACCAGAGGGACAGTCAAACTCATAGATCGAAAACAAACTGACAACGCCATGGCCAAAAATAAAAAGACAAGCAGACAAATAATAGTACAAATGACACAACATAGAAAACTAAAGACTAAGCAACACGAACCCCACCTAAAAGTGGGGGTGATCTCAGGTGCTCCGGAAGGGTAAGCAGATCCTGCTCCACATGTGGCACCCGTCGTGTTGCTTATGTTATTACAAATCCGGCAAATAGTCTAATTCGGTAGGTCAAATTCGTGAAAAGGGAAGGGTATTGTAGTTACGACATAAGGAACATATCCGATATCATCTGTGAAACGGTTATTCCATAACGGTCAACCAACTCGTGATGGCGTCCGTAAAATTTACGAAGGATGATTATGCAGAATATTGTTTTGTTTGAAAGATTTCTTTTTCTGAGTGATGGTAAGAACCGTGCATTTGTCTGGATGGAAGTCCATGAGCCAATCAGCCTCCTAATTGGCAACATCGTCAAGGATTTCTTGTAGTTGTGTATTGTCTTCTTGGCATATATTATCTTGATAGATAATGCTATCATCAGCAAAGAGTCTTAATTTGCTGTATTTTAAATAATCTGGAAAGTCATTGATGTAAATTAAGAACAGTATAGGCACAAGGCCTGTTCATTCGGACACACCTGATGTTACAGGTACTGTTTGATGTAATTCCATTTTTAACTACTGTTTGTGTTCTGTCAAAAAAAAAAAAAAAAAAGCCAGAATATATTTTAGAGTGCTGTCTGGTACGCCATAGTATCTAAGTTTAAAGAGTAGACGTCGGCGGGGAACTTTATCGAAGGCTATTTCAAAATCGATTATTATGAGATATGTTTGAATATTTTTGTTGTTGTTATGGAGTTCTTGCATAAATCGGATGAGTTGTGACTCACATTATCGCGGAAATCGTGTTGGGGGTTATAAAGGCTGTTGTTTGCTTCTAAATATTCCATGATGTTACTAGTTACAATGTGTTCCGTTATTTTGCAACAGATACAGGTTAAAGAAATGAGTCTATCATTTCCATCCTTGTAACGTTCACCCTTTCTAAATGCTGGTGCTATATATTGATTTATTTCCAGTCTTTTTGGTGTTGACCTGCATGTTTCTCATAATTTGGTATATTGATTAAGATTGGTGCTATCATTTATATACCACTGATATTATTCGTTATACTAGCTGTGTGCGGATTTAAATTTTGTGGTGATTTATATACTCCTGCTGATCTGTTTTTGATTTCTGCATGGCTTTTATGTCGATAGTAACTACCATCACAGTGCCAGATATGTTTATTTTTGACCATACTATCTCACAGTCTGTTCTTATATATATATGTAGTTCTATGATTTCAGAGCTCATGCACTATTTCGTGATGACTATTAAAACCACCATGACTATGGATTTTGTTTTGTTTGTATATAGGTCTATCATTGCGATATACGTTGAACAGGTTGCTTGGAAAGAAGTCAGCTGATGTTATTAACGTGTCTAGCCAGGTTTCTATACATATGATAATGTCTGGATTACACGAATAAATAGTTTCTAATAGATTTTTGTTTTGTATATGACAGAGTGGTTGGAAATTTACATCTATTACTCTTTTTACGTATCGATCTATGTATGGGTGATGATGTTGTAATTGGTACACCTGGACTATTTGTATTTGAATATTGGCTTTTACGAATACTGATTTTCTGTTTCAATTAAGTATAATGAGTTGAACAATGATGTGGAGAAATTGCATACCACATTGTATACATCCCCAAGAAATACGAATGAACTAGTATTACTTGCATCTATAAACTTATATTTATTAGAGTGGATACTTTGGCAGTTAATGTGGAACCATTCATAGATGTCAGAACATATAGGTTTATGTTTCCAGGTAACTGCCTTGGCCGCTTTGGAAACAATAATATATAAAGTAAATATGACAGGGACAAAAAAATGTTCAGGATTTCAAGATCTCCTTGCGGGAGTTATTGCCCTTAAATGACAATTTTTGGCCTATTTGAAGTTTTTGCCTATTATCTCGAATACTTTGATAGATAGGTATAAACTGTAAACAACAAAAAATATCAGCAATAATAGAACAATAACAATGTCAAACAACCGAAACTATTTAATAACTCCGAAAGGAGTAATTGCCCTCAAATGAAGATTTTTTAATTATTTTTCGTGGTTTGTCTGTTATTTCGAAAACTATATTCGATAGAGAGAAACTGTATAAAGCAAACTTAACCAACAATACTAAATCTACAAAAAAACAAAATGATCAAACCATTGATGACTCCTTAAGGAATTACTGTCCTTAAATGAAG